ATTTCGATGTGATCATGGGTATGGATTGGTTATCTTCCTGCTATGCCATGTTAGATTGTCATGCCAAGATAGTCCGGTTCCAATTTCCAAATGAAGAAGTCTTAGAGTGGAAGGGTAGTTCAGCATCTCTTGTAGGTAAATTTATTTCTTACCTTAAGGCACAACAGATGATCGGTAAGGGGTGTCTCGCCTATTCACATTATTAATCCAGAATCAGAACCACCAGCTCTTCAGTCAATGCCAGTTGTTAGAGAATTTCCAGAAGTTTTCCCAAATGATCTTCCCGGACTTCCTCTCGAAAGAATCATAGACTTCGGCATTGATCTCATGCCAGGCACTCAACCCATATCTATACCTCTTTATAGGATGGCTCCAGCAAAACTTAATCAGTTGAGAGAACAGTTGAAAGACCTTCTTGACAAGGGCTTTATCAGGCCGAGTGTTTCACCATGGGGTGCCCCGGTCCTATTTGTCAAGAAGAAAGATGGGTCTCTCAGAATGTGTGTCGACTATCGACAGTTGAATAAAGTTACCATTAAGAACAAGTACCCACTGCCAAGAATTGATGGTTTATTTGATCAACTTCAGGGTGCAAAGTACTTTTCAAAAATAGACTTGAGGTCGGGATACCACAGTTGAGAATCAGGAAAGAGGATATATCTAAAACAGCCTTTAGAACTCGCTACGGGCACTATGAATTTCTAGTGATGTCCTTCGGGTTGACAAATGCTCCAGCTGCATTCATGGACCTCATGAATAGAGTTTTCAAGCCATTCCTAGATACCTTTATTATTGTGTTTATAGATGATATTTTGATGTACTCTAAGAGCAAGGAAGATCATGCCGAACACCTCAGAATAGCCTTGCAGACCTTGAAGTAGAATGAGTTTTATGCCAAGTTTTCAAAATGTGAGTTCTAGTTGCAGTCAGTGGCATTCTTAGGCCACGTGGTATCTAGTGAAGGAATAACAATAGACCCTCAGAAGACAGAAACAGTCAAGAACTGGCCTAGGCCGACAACGCCAACCGAAATCAGGAGTTTCTTGGGGTTAGCTGGCTACTATAGAAGGTTTGTGGAGGGGTTTTCCTTACTTGCAGCTCCATTAACTAAGTTGACTCAGAAAGCAGTTAAGTTCCAATGGTCAGACGCTTGTGAGCAGAGTTTTCAAGAGTTAAAGAAGAGGTTGACCACTGCACCTGTGTTAACCTTGCCGACAGGTTCGGGTGGGTTCACAGTGTATTGTGATGCCTCCAGAGTGGGCCTTGGTTGTGTTCTAATGCAAAATGGAAAAGTTATTTCTTATGCTTCCAGGCGGTTAAAGAATCATGAAAAAAACTACCACACACACGACTTGGAGCTTGCAGCAGTGGTGTTTGCATTAAAAATATGGCGACACTACCTTTATGGCGAGCATTCTGAAGTGTTTACAGATCACAAAAGCCTACAGTACATTTTCAAGCAAAAAGAACTAAATTTGNATGTTGAATTTGATGAAGAATTGGCATGGGATTGGGAAGCTCAAGAAGAAACTTCATATGATTTTCTTCCATATTTTGGTGATGAAGAAGAACCAGAGACCGTGGAACCTGTGCAGTATACAACTCCACCTCCTTCTCTAACCAATGTTGCATCTCCCTCTTCTCAAGAAAGTTCAAATGAACAGCCGCAAAGGACAAGGAGTATTCAAGAGCTCTATGAGGACACAGAAAAAGTTACTAATTTTGATTTTTTATGTTGTCTCTTTGCTGACAGTGAACCAATGAACTTTGATGAAGCTATTACAAACAAAAATTGGAGACAAGCCATGGAAGAGGAGATTGAGTCAATAGAGAAAACAACACTTGGGAGTTAACAACTCTTCCCAAGAGTCATCGAGCAATTGGAGTGAAATGGATATACAAAATAAAGAAGAATGCTGATGGAGATGTGGAGAAATACAAGGCACGACTTGTGGCTAAAGGCTACAAGCAAAGGCAAGGCATTGACTATGAAGAAGTCTATGCACCTGTTGCCCGCATGGAGACGATTCGTTTGTTGATCTCTTTGGCGGCACAAATGAAATGGAAGATCCATTAACTAGATGTCAAGTCAGCCTTCTTGAATGGCTATCTTGAAGAAGAAGTCTATGTTGAACAACCATTGGGCTTCGTGGTCAAAAACCATGAAGATAAAGTGTTGCGGTTGAAGAAAGCTTTATATGGATTAAAGCAAGCCCCACGAGCATGGAATAGTTGCATCGACAAATATTTTCAAGAAATGGGTTTACTCGTTGTCTCCATGAATATGCTCTTTACCTTAAAGTTCATACTAATGGAGATATCTTACTTGTTTGTCTTTATGTTGATGATCTTATTTTCACGGGCAATAACCCATGTTTGTTTGAAGCTTTTAAGAAAGATATGTCCCGTGAGTTCGAGATGACAGACGTAGGGCTCATGTCATATTACCTGGGCCTAGAAGTGAAGCAGATGGAGGATGGAATTTTTATCTCTCAAGAAAGCTATACAAAAGAGATATTGAAGAAGTTCAACATGCTCGATTGCAACCCCGTGAACACACCGATGGAGAGTGGGACAAAATTGTCCAAGTTTGATGAAGGAGAAAAAGTGGATCCCACATTTTTCAAAAGTCTTGTGGGAAGTTTGAGGTACTTGACTTGTACCAGGCCAGATATACTCTTTGCAGTTGGAGTAGTAAGCCGCTTCATGGAAGCTCCCACCTCCACTCATTTGAAAGTCACTAGAAGAATTCTTCGTTACCTAAAAGGTACGATTGACTTTGGGTTATTTTATTCTTCTTCTAATGATTTCAACCTTATGGGATTTTGTGATAGTGATTATGCCGGAGATATTGATGATAGAAAAAGTACAACCGGTTTTGTATTTTTCTTGGGTGATTCTGTTATTTCTTGGAGTTCAAAAAAACAATCAATTGTTACTCTCTTGACGTGTGAAGCTGAATATATAGCAGCAACATCTTGTACGTGTCATGCTATTTGGCTGAGAAGATTATTGAAGGAGCTCAATTTGCCACAAATTGAAGCTACAGAGATTTGTATTGACAACAAATCCGCACAAGCACTCGCGAAGAATCCAGTGTATCATGATCGAAGTAAGCATATTGATACAAGGTATCACTTCATTAGAGAAAGCATTGCCAAGAAGGAAGTCGAGCTCAAGTATGTGAAATCTCATGATCAAGTTGCAGATATTTTTACCAAGCCTCTCAAATTTGAAGATTTTCAGAGATTGAGATCAAGACTTGGAATGAAGAAAAATCAAAATTAAGGGAGAGATTTGTGGGGCCCATATTAAATAAAAGAAAAAAGAAAAAAAAGGGAAAAAGATATGATTGGAGAAAGGGAAGGCAATGGTGGGCGCTGCAGAACAAGTTGTAAAACCAATTTGAAGAATTGGTTTTGGAATTGATTTTGGGCGTTGCCCATCTTGCAACTTGCAACAACCAATTCTGATTGGTTAATTTGGACGGCAACTTTGCCTATAAAAGGAAGTGTTCCGTTTCAGTTTTAAATACACCAAATCGAGAGAAGCAACAGAGAGTTAGAGAGAGTAATCCACAGATTGTAGTCTGTGAGATAAATAGTGAGTGGGAGTAATATTATAGTGAGGTGTTTTAAATAAAGAGTATTATTTCCTTCGAAGTTGTAGTAGTCTCTTGACACTACTAAGTTGTAATATTATAGTGGTAATATTCCTCTGCTCGGGTATTGTATTTTACCCCGTTAAAATATTTGGTGTCGTTGTTACTCTCTTGTGTTATTGTTATTTATCGTGGGTATTATTCTTGGGCGGGATTATTATTTATTTTTTATCCCAACATATTGGATGTGCCAAAAGTGTAAACCAGGAAGTCCTATTCTTTCTGGTCACTTGTGGCGTTGCATTTACAAGTTGAATATCAGGAAAAGTTTTTAAAAAATGAAGAGCAGCAAAGACAACTTGGTAAATATCAACAAAGAAATGGGACTTTGAAACTAAACTTGATCCAATTTCTCATTTGAATACAAGCTTCTGGTAAGCAAGCGGATTCAAACTGTGTCACTTCACCATTGTATATACTTTCATATATAGCGTAATCTAATTCATCTCTTACCTTATCTTTAACTGGAAATTCATAACTTGATTCTCTTAACAATAATATGCATATAAATAATTAGAAAAAAAAATCCAGGAAGCATATTCAACTGAACCCGGTCGCACACACATAGGTCTGCCCATGAGAATAAGGTGTATATGAAAAGATCTTGCTTTCGTTCATACTTTAAGGTGATGGATAAGTAGATGAAATCTCTCAGCTTCTCTATTTTTAGTTTGTTAGACCTCAATAACAGTTCCTCCTATTAACATGTAAAATTCTTACACTATAACTGCAATTTAACTGGCCGTAGTAGGCTATGTTGCGCGGACTCTCCAAAATGTAGCCGCACCCGTGTCGGATCCTTCAAAAATGCACTACTTTTGGAGGATCCGACACGTATCTGGCCACATTTTCGGAGAGTCCGAGCAACATAGGTAGTAGGTAATTACTCTACTTTCCTATTTAGCATATCAGACTTGTCACGAAGATCTATCTATTATTTTATGTCACATAACCTGATAGTACAAGATATTTCATTGATGGTGCAGAGATGCATACTGATCCTTCTAAAATAAGTGCAATGGTGAGTTGACCTTTACACACCAACATTAGAGAGTTGAGGGGAGTTTTGGCTAATCTGTTAAGAAAAGGGTGCTTTGAATGATCTGAAGAAGCCTTTATGAATCTTAAAAAGGCTATGACAAAAGATTGGAATTATTTTCTAGCACTCTCTTATTTCTATCTATCAAGAAGATCTCTTTTAATGATAAAAAAGGTTGGTCAGCTAATGTCGCTCTTTTTTTTTTTTTTTTTTTTTGGAAACTGGAGCTGTTTAAAGGAAGCCTTCTTTATTTCGTTAAAATATATTGCTTTAACTAATGCATAATGGTGACATCATAGAAGTTTATTCAGTCTTTTTCTGAAAGAGAGGAGAAAATGATGGAGTATAATTAGATTAATGTAAACTCTAGCAGTTGGAAAAGGTAGGAAGAAAATCTGAAGCTCCCTTCCAGCTGGCATATGGTGGGTCATTGGGAAAGAACAAAATCTGAGATGTTCTGAAAGCAAAAGAGAGGACATACAAGCAGAAGTGTAATACTGTATTCATCTTAAGTAGTGCACATAACATAGGGAATCAAGCATCAATCCTGAGCCGATGGTCTAATTCCACCTAGTGGCGAATATTGACAAACTGGAGCTTGATCTTTTTGAGTGTTGAAAGAGGATCATCCATATTGATTCTTGCATCAGGTATCACTACAGTGCAGCTCAAAGCTAATTCCATGATAGATAAAATACACTGCATCTTTGTGTTGGTTTTTTCATCCCCTGCCTGCACTAAATTAGCATCCACCACCTTATAAATTCCACTTGGAAAAGAATCACCAACGGCCAACCCAACGTCGTAGGCTCAAGTCCCCAGTAAATCTTTCATCACTTGGTTGCATTCTTGTAAACGTCTCCATCATCAGGATGCCAAAACTATAAACATCGCAGCTTGTGGATACTATTCCATCTTGGCCATAGTCTGCAATCATAGTCGAAAATAATTAGAAGAGCTTCCTTACTATGTAGGAATAATCTAAAAGTGTTGTTACCAATCTATATCCTAGGGAAAGAATTAATGTATTGGGTACTCTAAGGATATGAGGAAGCTTTAAAAGTAATAATACCTGGAGCAATGTATCCAATGGTTGCAATTGTCCTAGTTTGAACAAAAGCCTCCCCTGCGCCTAACAATTTTGCAATGCCAAAATCACTGACATGGCTAACCATATCTTGATCTAGCAAGATATTGCTTGGCTTCAAGTCACAATGCACCACTGGTGTTGAATAGCCACTATGGAGATAGTCCATTGCAGATGCAACATCTATCATTATATCTAACCTCTGCAACAAGTCTAAGAAAAAGTTATGAGAGTATAGCCATTTTTCAAGTGTCCCATTCGGCATGTATTCCAATAATAAAGCTCTGAAATCAAGGTTGGAGCAACTAGTGATGACTTTAGTAAGATTTCGATGGCGGAGGTTTCTTAGCATCTCACATTCTGTGTCAAAACTTTTGAATGCACCCTCTAATTGCACATTGAAAACCTTTGCTGCCAAAGGAGTACCATCCTTAAGTATCCCTTTATAGACCATGCTGAAACTCCCACTACCAAGCAAGTTGCTTTCACTGAATCCTTCTGTTGCTTGTTCAAGTTCATAATAGGAAATTCTTTCATGCCCTTTTACCAGAGACACATCTGCTTGACCTGCATTCTTCTTTTTCTTTCGCAATCTTAAAAATACATATGCAAGGGCTAATGCAAGAAAAAGCAGGCCCATTCCCAAAGGGACATACAAAACCAAGATTGTCTTCTTCCTCTTTGACCTCTTGGTAGATTTGATGACACACGGTGACACATGAAACTTAGAATCACCACAGAGAGCATTATTGGACAAGAAAGACTGACTTGTGAGATTTGCAAAAGGACCTCCAGTGGGAATCTCTCCACTGAGTTTATTAAATGAGAAATTCAAGTATTTCAGATACACAAGAGCTTCTAATGACTTTGGAATTTCACCACTAAGATTGTTATTGTACAAATCCAAGAATTCCAAGGCCAGCATTTTGCCAAATGAATCCGGGATAGGCCCCTGTAATCTATTATGTGCTAGAGAAAGTTTGATCACTTTATCAAGGAACCCTAAGATGTTGGAGATCTTACCAGAAAAATCATTTTTTGACAGATCAATGAGTGTTGCAGCCTTTAAATTTCCAATCTCTAGAGGAATTTGCCCACTGAATAAATTGGACGAAACATTGAATTCTATGAGATCTTGAAGGCTCCCTAAGCTTGCAGGTAATCTTGAATTCAACCTGTTGTTAGCTAGATAAAGTTTCCTCAAACTGGTAACACTTCCTAAGCATGGTGGCACTGAACTAGAAAAATGATTTCCTGATAAGTCTAATGCACCAAGACTCTTTAAATTGCAGATACTATCTGGTATCGGTCCTTCTATCTTGTTGCTTTGCAGGTAAAGTTCTTGAAGGTTCAACATTCTTTGGATAGTATTTGGAATATGTCCAGCCAACTCATTGTTTTGCAGACTCATCATTGTCATTCCAGTAAGATTACCAATTTCTTCCGGAATGATGCCCTTCAGTTTACAACCCTGTCCTTCAAAAATTTGCATAGCAGAAAATTTCCAACTGATGCAGGAAAAACACCGTCCAACGGATTTAGATCAAATTGTTAGGATTTCTCCTAAATTTCTAATCTATTAGGACTCTCTTTCTTGAAGGAATGGAAAAAGATTCCTAAAAGGATTAAATCTCCTTAATATGTCTTATCCTTTTCTTGGAAGACAAGTTTTGCACATCTATAAATTAAGGATCTCTACTTCTCACAAGAGCACAAAAAAATATCCACAATGTAGTCATTAAAGAGTTTTGTTTAGCGGGAGATTTTTCTCTTTATAGTTTTTCTTCTTTTATATTAGTTTTATCATATGTAGATCGATTGATCAAACTATTATAAACTTTATGCTTAGTTTAGTATATTTTTCTTTTGTCGTCTGATTTATTGTCCACCAAGCATTGTTAGCTAGCTTCCGCATGCATCATGTTATTTCGATCCCAACACAAATTTGACTACTCTTAGTTTCCTACAGTTTGTGAGTGATGTAAGGAAGCTCAATGCTGAGTCACTGAAAAAATTATTACTCCCCAAGTGTAAAATCTCAAGATATTCTAAGTTACCAAGTGATTCAGGAATTGGATCTGTGAAACTATTCCATGAGATATCAAGTCCTGTGAGTCTTGAAGAATTTGAGATTGAAGACGAGATAAAACCGCTCAAACGATTACCTGAACAAGAAAACTTTTCCAGGTTGGGCAGTCGACGGCCTAAATCTGAAGTTAGAGTACCTGAAAACCTGTTTTCTCCAAGTCCTATGATCTGCAGTTCTGACATGTTGAAAATGCTATCAGGTACGGGACCAGTAAACACATTATTGTATAATGACAGTGCCTTGAGTTTCCTAAGATTACCTAGCTCCGCTGGTATCTCTCCTGTCATGTGCGGGAAATATATGAGTACTGATTTGCGAGAGAGAGAGAGAGAGAGAGAGAGAGGGAAGAAAATTTCCGATTCCTTGTAAGGAAATATCATACTACCTTTTAAGTGCAGGTCTCGAAGATCTAATACTGTAAGTGCTGTCAAGTTAGCTAGCTCTCTTGGTAGAGTTCCAATAAACTGATTGACGGACAATAACATGAATTGAAGCTTCCTGCATTTTTCTAATGTTGGTGGAATAACACCATCTAGGTTGTTGCCTGAGAGGTAAAGCCCTTCCAAGTTTGGAAGATGGTCACATATAGTTATTGGAAGCGTACCAGTTAGACTATTGTTGGTAAGAGCAAGTTTTTGCATTGTCGTAATGTTAAAGATTGATGGTGGTATGGAGCCAATAAGCCGGTTATTTTGTAGGTCTAATAAAGTCATGCCACCAAGATGACCTAGTTCTCGAGGAATCTCTCCTACTAGATAATTTCCCCTTATTCTCAACATTTGCAGCTTTGTTAGATTGGAAATGGAAGATGGGATTTCTCCAGAAAACTGGTTGAAGGAAAGGCGCATAATGTGAAGGTTGGTTAACAAACTAATAAATGATGGAACGGTACCAGTAAAGTTATCGCTTGTGACATTAATGCAAATGAGACAACTCTTCTGGCAACTCTCCATAGAAAGTGTTGTTACTGATGTCGAGGGAAACAAGAAATGAGAGGTTTCCAAGGTGTGGCGGAATAGTACCATAAAGTTGCATGCTTGAAATGTCTAAAGCTGCAACTCTATGGTTGCGCGAGCTGCAAGTGATTCCAATCCAGCTGCAAACCGGGCTAAACGAAGACCAGTTAGTTGCTAAGATGTTGTTAGGATCAGAAGAAGAAATATGAGATTTCAAGGCTAGAAGAGCAGCTTCATCAGTGCTGATATTGGGAGCAGTTGCCAATGAAGTATGGTCATGTAATAGAATGAAAGCTACAAGAGCAAAGAGAAAATTGTAACTTGTGCCCATAACTATAACAGGCAGGCTTCTCTTTTTCCTAAAACAAGAATGGTTAAGGAAAAGCAATGATGTTAGATGATCTAATTAATGATATCAATTAAATTCATAGGATATCAATATACTGTTGTAAGTCTCCGCACTGTTTTTCGGTTAAGACTTCTGAGTGTCAATTTTAAATTCTAATTGTAAAGATAATCCTTGAAGGGCCCAAAAGTACAAACAAATTAAGACAGAGGAAGAAAATGTCAAAGTAAACCAAGTCAAGTTTATATACTCCAACAATTCATGGGCTAGGAATTCTAGCCACGCTATTTGAAAACTGGAAAATGGCATTGGCAACCCTATAGCCACATATAACATAGCTAGAATAATACTTACAACGATAGGAACTGTGACTAATTAAAAAGCATAGGTTATCTTAATTAATCTAAAACTTTTCTCCTGTGTCGAGCACTATTGTTCACAAAATTCTAGTGTCACGACCCTAAAATCCAACCTTTAGGATCGTGATGACAAGTAGTTCCTAGAACTAGGTAAGCTTATCACATAGTAGGATCAACCGAAATAAATACCAACTTAATAGTAATGAAGTTGAAAAGTGCTTCAACATAACCAAAAGCAAAAAATACAAAGTCAAATAAATCCCAGAACCGCTAATACGGATTCATAAGCTCTACAGAGAGTACATGCGAAATCTCAAAATAATACTGTCGGGAAATGCAATAAATAGTAGTAAGAAAATCAGTAGAAGATGACTCCCAGGCCTGCGAGCGAGAATAACAGGTATACCTTGAAGTCTCCTCAATATATGGCTCAACACACTAGCGACAGGCTCGATCCGAGATACCTGGATTTGCACAAAAATATGCAGAAGCATAGTATGAGTACACCATAATTAGTACCTAGTAAGTATCAAGACTAACCTCAGTGGAGTAGTGCCGAGGTTCAAGTCAAAACACTCACTAAACAAAATATCAATATAAAGCTAGACATAAAACCTATGGAAAATATTAATATAAAGCTAACAATGGGAAGCGAAATCAATAAATGGCAACAAAGAGTAAACATGTGATAACGCATCAAATAAACCAAAACATAGTTAAAGTACAAGTGAATCAATTAATGAAAAACAATGACCGTTCAAATCCTCAAGCCGTTCCAACATAAGATTTACAACAATAATCACCCCGAGGTACCACATCTCATAATCACAAATCACAAATCATCCTTATGACGCCACATGAATTTCACATTTTAAAACATTTTTCGGAAACAGCTTCACGCACATAAGCCCCCTTATCTTGCCGCGTGTGATATCTAATTAATGATATCAATATACTGTTGTACTATTGGACGGGGTCAATGGGCGATCAATAAGACCCATAGCCTAGGTTGGTGACCTTCATTGCACTTTGGAGGGGTGCCCGCCTAAGGTCGACCTAAGTGGCCGAGCCTACGTGATAATTTGTGGCAGCGGGGCCTTGCATTCACGCAGCCCCTACCGAAAAAAAGAAGAAGAAGATATCAATATATTGTTGTTAGTTTCCACGCTGTTTTTCGGTTAAGACTTCAGAATTTCAATGAAGCCAAACTTTATTAAGAGGCCTTAAGCTTTTAAAAAAAGTTCAAATATATTTTTATTTTAACTCTGTTTTGTCTAGCTTTTTGAGATGCAAATTATTAATGATATGTATGTAAGTTATTTTGATTGTTATTTTCTATTTGACAATATAAATAGTCCATTTATTCTTTTTTGAGATCATTGTTTAATGAAATCCTCTTGTAGATTGTATTAAAGTTCCAATAATAATCTTTTTTTAAGTTGAGTAACCTTATTCTTATTAACATATTTGAATCCTAATATATAATGGAAAAAAAAAACAATTTACAACTATGAAGTGAAAACAAACAAAAAATGCAAAGCAAAGTTTCACTACTTTATTAGTTTTGATTGTTATTGTGCGTGCTTGAAAACTTTAGAAATAATAATGACAATGAATGTACAATTTAATTGATTCAATGTCCTTGTCCTTATTTTTGTGAGAATAAATAGCTGTGCAGGAGGAGAAGAAAAAAAGTACAAGTTTTATTATGAAAAAAGGAGAAGACAATTAATGTCATACTTTAAATTAACCAACATTTATTATCAATCTTTGAGTAAATAGTTATCTATTCATCTTCTATAAATATTTTATACTCTTTACGTTATATTATTCAATATTTTTGAACGAAAATCAAACATAGAAAACATAGTTTAAAAAATGGGGCCCCAAAGAATTGGGGGCTAAAGCCATGGCTTTAGCTGCTTTGCTCTTCGGCCGGCCTTGTGTAAAGATAATCTTTGAAGGGCCCAAAAGTACAAACAAATGAAGACAGTGGGAAGAAATGTCAAAGTAAACCAAGTCAAGTTTATATACTCCAACAACTTATGGGCTAGAAATTCTAGCCACGCTATTTGAAAAATGGCATTGATGACCCTACAGCCACATACAACATAGCTAGAATAATTTTTACAACGATAGGAACTGTTACTAATTAAAAAGCATAGGACATCTTATTAATCTAAAACTTTTCTCCTATGTGTTGAGCACTATTGTTCACAAAATATAACTTCACTAGTGTCACAGACCCCAAAATCTCACCTTTAGGATCGTAATGGTACCTAGTTTTTAAAATAGCACGGGCTAGCTAGTTTTCAAACTGGTCATTCAGAAATAGCCAGTGTTTGCCAAGTCATTGAAAAATAGCCACTATTTTTGTTGCAACAGAGACCGGTCCAGCATAATATACTGGAGTTTGGTGCACCAGCGTATGAACTTCCAGCATATTATGTTGGACCGGTATACTTTGCTAGCTTTAGTATAATATACTGGAGTTCCAGTATACTATACTGGAAGTCCAGTATATTATGCTGGAGTATTTTATTTTGAACAGTGTTTTCATTCAGATTTATCTATACATGAAAAGTGGCTAAATTTCGAAGAATTTTGAAACTATGGTTATTTTTAAATGACCACTTGTAAATCTGACTTTTTTTGAATTTCTCCCCACCTAGTTCCTAGGACCAAGTAATCCTATCACATAGCAAGATCAACAGAACTAAACACCAACTTAAATAATAATGAAAGTTGAAAAGTGCTTTAACATAACCAAAAGCGGAAATACAAAGTCATATAAATCTCAAAACTGGTAGTACGTTGCGGGATGCTTCTCCCGACGTAGTTGGTTTGACTATTATCGTCACCTTGTGGAAAGATATTCTGTCATTTCAGCTCAGTAGTCGTACTTTTGAGAGCTCTGAGGCTAGGCACAAGTTGCCATGATGCTTATGAACGGTTGTCGCACGGTATTGATGTGTTGGTGGGATGCCTGCCTACGTGTCGGGGCAGTGAATGACCTGAAGGGAGGTTTACTCGGTGCATGATTCAGAGATTCGGTATTTTATTCTCGGCGGAGGGAAAGCAATCAGGCTAAGAATGTTCAGATTTGGGTTGATGGAGTAACAAGACTTGGTATTTGCGAGCGTGGTAGAATTCTCATCTGTGATGAGGTGCTGTTTACCTTGTTGAAATGTGCTAAGTTGTCGATGTTATGATTTTCTACAATTCGCCTTTGGTGCAGGGTATTGTGAGATAGTAATGGAGAAGCGGCTGTCAGAGATCGCGGGATGCGGTGGTTCAAGATTTAGTCGATGTTTCTTATGTCGATGGCTCGAGAAGAGATGATCTTCGGGAAGGTTTAAAGTTAGTAGCGGTCTATTGGTTCAAAAGCTACTGAGTTAGATTTTTGATCTAAGACATCAGCTGAGCGGCGAAGGATGATGAAGGACATGTGGAAAGTGTCACGCGGTGGTTAAATTTTTAGAAGTCCAAGTGTAAGAAGCGGAAGTCGAAACTAGTTGCTTAAGGAAGAGGGTTTGGCCAAAGTGGGAGAGTGGCAGAGCATCACGTGGATTCAGTAGCAGGATAACTACACCCTTGAGGAAAGTTTGGAGTGATTTGAGAATTTTTAGTGGACGGTGATTGGGTCTACGAGCTTAATTTGAAATATTGGCTAGCATAACGGCTGGAGATTTGATATGACGGAAATGAGCTGCTTGATATGAAGAAGGATACAACATAACTTTGAATTGAAAGATATTGTCGCACATTTAGTTAATGTCCACGAGGAGTGAATGGACTTGTGCAGCTGGTGGATGAGCACGGGCTCAAGATGGGTCATTGATGTCGTAGTAATTGGAAGATGTCGGCGCGTAGTTCCACAGGTGGGTTATCTCCTGTGGGCAGATCAGCGGTCGCGTGGTTGGCAAAGCTTTTGCGAAGAATCCTATTGGCCATCTGATAAGGAGGTCGGATATGTAAATGTGGTTAATGATTCAGAGTATTCATAAATGGTTCACAGAAAGATTTCGAGGAGCTTGGCGGGTTGGTTGTGCTAGATCATGTCATCAATGAAGAAAGAATCTTATTGGATTTTAGAGTTGCGCAATGGTGGCTTCAAGCTAAGTGGGAGATCCCCACCGCCTACGATTGGATTGTATGATAAACTTTTTGTGAGGTTTTGGGTTATCGACGTATTGGGAAGTTATTTCGGCTAAGGAAAGAGAACATCAGTAGTAATTTGAGGAAAGGAATTGAAGAATGTGTTCTATAATTGGCATCATTTTCATGTTCGAGCTTTGGGAAGACTCATGAATTATGCTTCGCGTAGAAGTGAGTTGCAAGGAAGGTGATTCGGCCGGGTGCTTCTCTGAGAGAGTGGTCATGGGCTAGCGGAGCCTTGCATTTGATTATATTCGTGACCATGTCAGAGTGGGTGACTCTCAATAGCGGTACTAGTGAATTCAAAGGTTAAAAATGTTGTGCCTAAGGATTCAAGACCGCGGTATGTTTAAGAATCGAGCTGGTGAAGCAGCTTATGATATGAGACCCAGAATGTTCTATGATGTTTTGACTTGTAGTGTAGCATTGGGAGGAAAAGGAGAAGAAGACTTTAGATTCGTAGAGGAATTATCAGAATGGATGTACCAGTCGAGATGCGAATATGCG